GAAAGTTGCTCTTCAGGCTTTGCGTGAAGGAGTTGATTTAACTTTGTGATATTTAGAGAAGCAGAATTTGTATTTATATTTTTTACACATTGTCAATGTAGTTTGATAATATCCACATGGAACAAATGTTAAAAAAGGAAAAAAAAGTCTGTGTAATAAAGGAAAACTTCTCCAATAGATGAAAGTTTTCATTTATGTACAGTTGAGTGTTAAATATTGTTCTAAATGAAATCAATAAATTTACCCAATTACACTTTGTCTTCAAAATTGTGTCCTGAATTTGTGGAATCCACAAAATAATATTCAATACAGTATCCTGTTTTTCATTGTGTTTGAGATGCATCCTTTTGCCCTTGGGAAATGATCTTGTTTTAATTATTTTTAGAAATGTAATATTCTAGGTATATGTGATAAAGATATGCCATAAAATCTTGCAGAGTAAAAAAAAGAAAAAAGAAAGTACACTAAATATATTTATGTATCCATTGCTGCATATGCTTGCCTGTGCATAAAATTCCATGAGTTTTAGATTCAAAAGCTTCTGTTTACTACTATTGTGGCAAATCAAGTGTGGATTGAATTATTAATATCCAGAGTCATAGAAGCTGTACCAAAAATCTTGAGAGAGATGTTATAATCAGTCTCATAAAAAGGAAGGTAATGAGTGTAATATATATTTGATTACAATATTACTGTCAAAACCATAAGAATTTGAAAAAATGTGTCTCCCAAACATAATGCAAAGAATATATGACAAACTAACTTGTGTACACTATAAGTGATCTCTTTTGCACATATTAATGGCATGTATGAACATGCCATGTCCACTGTGAGTTTAATTTATTGATTGTTTTTACACAGGTGATTCCACAAGGACTAAGTCCCCCATATGCCGAGTACTACCTCTCACACCTGTTTACCATTTTCCTTGATTTTTGAAAATATTTTCTGGTATCTTGTAATGCTATTAGTAATGTCAGTAATGTCTATAGTAAAGATGGTAGCATTGGTTAAAAAAAAAACTTTCCCTGGAACTTGAGGAAAGAAATCAGTTGAGGTCACAAGGTCTGCTAATTGCCTCCTTACTGGCTAAGCACCAGTAGAGCCACCAATGTCCAGACACATTTCACAAAATAATGCTACATAGAACAACATTTTCTAGTGATGGTCGGTTAACTTCAACAGTGAATCCCCCACAGTTCCCTACTTGCTGTTGTGGAGGAGCTTAGGAGATGGGGACTGAAGCCCAATGTAAGGGATCACACCTACCTTGGTCCTCAGCTCTAGCCTCAACTAATTTTTCATGGTCTTTTCTTCTCCTTTCCTTTTCCTTTTCTGCATCTCCTTTTTTCTGTCCACGTATCATTTTTGCTATTTTCGCCACAATACTTTATCATGATGTTATATAACCTTTGATATAATATTGCCTTATGAACCAACAAACTTTCTTATCTGGAGGCTTTACCCCCATGCTCCACCCTCACTATATTTTGATTATGCTGCTAATGACCGTAGATTTTCAATAAATCAATCAATCAGCAGTGAATTTAATGCAAGTCGGATCTTTCATGCCCAGCCAATGGATTCTAACTTTCCTGTATAAGCAATTTATGTCTGAGACAGTTGTTTTTTTTTCTTTTTATGTGGGAAATGTTACCATATAAGAGTGTACCATTTTAGATAGTGTTAGAGAAAAAAATAGTGTTTTACAGTAAAGAAACCCCAACGTGGGCCTCAGCCCTTGGCTCAACAAATTTTGCATAACTCTGAACACTTCTGCTACAACCCCTTGATACTAGCTGTCAGCTCATTCCATTCTAAGACACCCACTCAGGTCCTTACCCAGCCTTCAGAAAACATTCCTTCCTTTCTCCCAATATCCTCCATTCCCATTTCCTCATCCTCCACAGTTTTCTTCATTTTCAATCTCTTCCTCCCTTATTAATAGTCTTCATCCTTATTATCCACTTCCCTGCAGTATTACCTCACTCAACACCACTCCCTCTTCCTCCTGTCCTTGTATTTCAACCACTCCAGCCTCTACAGATCTTTCGAGTACTTTTTTAGCCCAGATAAGTGGGATTGGTTTTTATAGCCACTTGTTCTGACTATACCCTCCTATTCCAACAATGTCTCCAAAAACAGATTGACAAAGGTTCCTTCCATAGGTGTTCCAATTGTGCATGACTTGTCATGGTTACATCTGATCCCTAAGCTTTTGCATTATCTACTCTTACTGACCTCACTTGAAATCCTATTCCTGCCCAGCCTCACTTCTCCCTTAATACTCATACTGGCACGGGTTTCATCTCTCTGGCTGATAGCCCAGTCTATGACTAGGATTAGTCAGATTGCGGAAAGGTCCTGCTTGCCTGCTTCATTGAATATGATGCAATTTCAGTGTAGTGCAACACTATCCCCCATAGTTCTACTAATATTTTCATGATTACAGTCCATAGAGATGACCTTCTCCATGAAGGTTATATTGGTGGAGACTCCTATCCTGTCTGGCCATATCAACCCCACCCAGATCAATGCCTAATGTCCTTTATGTGCCCGAACTGGTTATGACCATTCAAATTGCTATGCACAATCTTGCACGTGCCAATTCTGGTGGCTCCCATTATTGCCCTGTGTATAAGTTCAAGGTTAAGGTAGCAGTTATCAGATTCAAACTTTGTGTCTACGTGAAGCATGCCAATGAGGTTTTTCTCTCACTCCCTACTCCAACACTGCCCATTCCACTCTTCTCCCTTCTCCCTAATGTCTCTGCATCTTGCCAAGTATCTCCAATACCTGTTACTTGTTAATTACTTCTTAATGGTTCCTTTTTCAGTCCCACACATTCTGTTGTCATTTTTATCACATTTTGTTCTAATCATTAACTCATTTTTACCCTTTTTGTCACATTACTATAGTGCTATATGACCTTTGATATATAGCACATAGATTTTGAGTAAACAGCACTGATTGTGACAATTGATAATCAACTGACCCCTCTCAAGTTTTGGATGCTTGATACGTCTCAACATGATTTTGTTAAAGGAAAGTCACATGCAAAAACAAATAAACAGAAATGTAAGGACAAGGTAAAGGCAAGATAAGTGAACGAATAATTCAGTCAAGAAAAATGTCATTCTAGTATAAGAAGCAAACAGAATTTATTAGACTATTAATGACCATTCATTATATAATTTTATGTAATGCTACATTCATAATACAGACATGCAGACAATGTCACATACTATGACAACTGAAAAAAGTATTTTTAGGGTGCTGCTGAATCATCCTAACACTACGTTCTTCCTTGGTGCATATCTTGATGGGAGATAATGCCAGGTGATATGACAGAATTACATTTTATCCTTGAAGATGGAGTCAGATATCAGTGAAAAACTGCATTGGATCATTTATCTTTCCCCTTGCTTTATAAGATTTAGAATTTGAGGCAAAACCACTTTCATGCATTGGACAAGTAATGTCATGACACTGGTCTAGGTGCCCAACTGAATGGGTTAGCATATGCATTTTAAGGATTATAAAAAGATTCTAGATATTTTATCTACTTGAGTATTGGAATCTGTAGGAGTGAATGATTCAAAGCCATTTATGGTTTCAACATTCACTTTATTTTACACCATATTTTTCCTTTTCAAAAATATGGTGAGGGAATTGTAGTAAGAGATAATTGTCAAAATATGCATACTGATATGACCTGGCTATGTTATGGCCTTTTGACGAGCCTAGGCTAATGAAATTATGGGGCCCCATATATACTGTATTATCTTTTTGCCTGAACATAGTATATAGGTCTAGAACAAGATCTCATTACCCTGTTGGATATGGGGGCTCTGCTGCCCACATATGGACCAAAATCTGGGCTTTAGGTTTACTTCAGTGGTGACTCTCTATTGTGACTTATACACCTGGCCTGCACTCATGTACAGCCAGGCCTTTAATTTCATTACCTAATTTTGAGGAAGTATTTTTGCGTTTTTGCTATTTTCCAATGTTTATATTTGTAATTTGATATGCTGTATCAAGATGGTAATAGACTGTTTCCTTAAGCAGATACCGTATCATCTTTGTAGGTAGTCTAAGACTTGTTACTAATACACTTGTACTGCCAGTCACTATGGACAGGAACAGAATCCTGACCATTGAATTAGTGTCCTCCTAGGCACTCTTCTAGCCATGGCACACAGATGGCATGTTCCACACACTCATTTACCAGTGGAAATAATGCAAGAGCTCCTTCCTATATGCCCACCGAGTTTAATTTTCCTCCTGTCACCACAGGCTTCATCTAAATTTCTCATAACAGCATATTCCCCTCAGCCAATTTTTTTTTTTCATGCGGAGATGGTCATGACAACCAGATTCAATGGGTTAATTTGTAATACAACATATCAGAAAAAAAACTGTTTTAACAAAGTGAGCCACCAGTTTTTTTCAGTGTTTGATTATATTTTTCATTAGTATTTGTCTTATATTTTCTAATTCCAACTATAAAAAAAAAACTTTTAACAAAGTGAGCCACCAACCAGACAACACTTTTTTATGGTATTTCAGTGTTTGATTATATTTTTCATTAGTATTTGTCTTATATTTTCTAATTCCAACTATTTTGGTATCCTGAGATGGTGAGATTTTAAGCTGTTACCATTATGATACACTTGATCTTGGCAAGACATTCAACAAAGAAAAATTTTCTCATGAGTGTAATTTTGACATTAATTTTGTTCTTTTAAGTGTTTAATTTTGCTCCAAATAAATGTCTTGAGATCACTGTATATCTTGAATTGCATTAGATGGAAAATTACCAACTTCTAGATGTAACACTTCATTGACATTTAGTAATTCTATACATTTCTTGCAACACTGATGAATAAGTTTCCTGTACAAACAAACTGGTAAAACAGTTTTTATGTATGCTAGAAGGGGCCTGTAACACTGTTTATCAAAAGGAACACAATCCAAGCACAAAATAAAACAAAAACTTTACTTACAACTGTATATTCCAACATACAGATGCAGGCAGAAGAATATTTTTAGAAATCATTATATTTTACATAAATCAATCTGATAAAGCAAATACTGATAAATCTTTATTTTATAACATTTAATTATCAGGGCTCAAGCCAGAGAGAAAAAAATGATGACAAAATTTAAATGAAAAATTATAAATAAATCAAGCCTTGACCATGTACACCACAAGTTTACTGCAACTGTTCCACAAGATTTGACTGAAGTAAACAGAAAATGACTACATGAATGACCTCCAAATGTCTATTTGCAGATTATATTTGTATTTTCATGTTTCCCTTTTGCAGTTATATATAATCCAAATACAGAGACTATATTCTAACATGGAAGAACCCACACACTTCAACAAATGTTTACACAATAAACCTCATGAACTGCAGTAACTATTCATTACATAGTAACTGTGGTGTCAATCCACTTACCACCTTTTTCCTATTTTGCTTGGATCTCGTAAGTGCAGAAAAAACTGCACATCATTTTACAATATAAACAAAAAAAGAATATAAAGGATGCTGGTTACACAATTACACAATTGTTTAGTTACAAAACTATCTGCATATATCTATGTTTACCTATAGTTTTAGTAATTGGTAAGTATGGCTTCATTATTTAAAAGCTCTTTAATGCATTCAAATGCTAGAAGAGGCAGTTTTTAGACTTTACTTTTGTTGTACACAGATTTCCACCTTAATCTTTTTTTTTTAAATGCATGTTGTATTATATTAGAAATTAACATAAGTAGGAACAAATGACTAAAACAACTGAATACACTGCATTAGACTTGCTAGCTAATTAAGAAGGATGGAATGGCTCACTTGAATGGCAGTAGCTTCTTATGACAACTGAGAATTTCCCTTTTCTCCGAATTCCGTAAGGTTCCAACACTAAAATTATACTAAATATATGACTCAAAACAAATTACATGTTATTTTGTGCACTGGTCAACAATCAGTGAAAATGCATTGTATCCCCAATAAAAGTGAATTTCCTCTGAACCGGATACATACACGCAGCACAGTGAAAAAGTCATAATCATTAAATATAGAGAAATCAAGTCCACAGAACTGTCTTTCACACAATGAAGATGTTTGGAAATGACAGATGAATGAGAAATCCTTTTCCTCTCTCCCTAAGGAACGATAACCAAGGACGCTGGAAGACCTTGCTACCCCATCCTTCGAAGAGATTGATGATAATGATTCGTTAGACATCACTAGCATCATCATACTCACTCAGAACTGGAAAGGAAGGGCTCTATTACTTTTCTGCTGTTCCAAGTTTCATGAAATATTTTGCAATTACTTATTACTAAGCTGTAAAATATACTATATAAAAATACAATAACAACAATATATGGATCTAATTTACTAGATCAATAATATATAATTCCATAAAAGCAAGCTTTCAAAACTGAAAAAGCATATGGGAATTCCTTAGTAACTGAATCTAAACTTTCTTTTACAATTACTGCTATGTAATGTTACAATAAAAACATGGTTTTATAGCAAAACGGTTAGTTGCATACTAACTGATATAATCAATGAAAAAATAAACCAGAGTCAGACTATAAAGTGTACAAAAATATTATTTCATAAGAATAATAAATCTTACCCTTTTTAAGTACTCCATGGCACATTCTCTGGCACGTGCATTCACTGCAAGTTTCATCTCTGAAATTTCCTTATCAATTTCCTCCATGAAATGGATCACAAAGTCTACTAACTTGTGCTTGAACATTTGCTCTGTGTGGAAGTTGGTGATGAGGAAGGAAATGTCATATCCCTGGAAAGACATATATATTACAAATATACAAATAATAATTGTGACTAATGATGATGATGATGGCAATAATCATAATAATAATAATAATGGTAGTAGTAATAAAAGTGCAAACCTCAGTACTCCTAATGAAGGTACAAATTCATTACTGGCCATGGTAAGCCTTGAGTATTTAAGGAAGTGAAATGGTTCACCTTTCAGAGTCCCCATGAGGGGTATGGACTAGATACTTAAACAGGGGAAAACCATGCCCATGGCACCCTGAGGCCATTCAGGACAGACCCAAAGTCCTTTCAACAAGACACCATTTTTTTCACTTCCCTCAAAACAGACTAATGTACCTGAAAATCTGGAAACATTAATCATATATCATTACAGTGAAGACAATTTTGTGATGTGACAGATAAAAAAAATAAAAATACATAATCTCTTATGTACCTAAATTATGAAATAAGCTAAGGTATCTACACCTTAAAACATATATGCTGTACTGGATTCACAATGCTTTTACATACTCATACCTCCTAATGACTACCAGTGAATGGAATATCCTAAGTTATGAGAGTCTTTTGATGGCAATAGATCTGTGTTTTGTCAATAAGGATTAGGATACTGTTTGATGTGTTGACAGTACTGAGCTCCCCCCCCACCCCAACATTTTTTATTCATCAGTTT